ATGATGCTAAGACATTTGACCATGTGCATCATAACAAATTATGGCTAACATAAAGAAGAATGGAAATCCCGGAACACTAAATTATGCTCATTTGAAACATACGTAGATCAAGGCTGATTGTTCAAACAGATCAAGGGAATAATTTAAAAGTAGCAAAAGTATGTGTCAGGGTTGTATACTTTCTTCATACCTGTTCATTCTGTTTGATGAACAAATCATTCAGGAAACTGGACTCTGAAAAAGAATGTGGCAGCAGGACTGGAAGAAGACTAATCAACAATCTACATTGTGCAGATGACACATCCTTACTTACTGAAAGTGAGGAGGAATTGCTTTGTGCAGAAGAACAGACTGCAGCCTTCAATATAGATTGTATCTCAACATCAAAAAGACAAAGGTCCTTGCCCCTGGGCCAGTAGGTATCATCAGCATCATGTTAGATGGAGAAAAAAATTAGTTAACAATTTCATCTTACCTGGATCTACAGTCAACACCAGCAGTCAGGAGATCAAAACACATATTGCACTGGGCAGGTCTGCAGTCAGGAGCAGCCTCTGCAAAGTATTGAGGAGAAGTAATGTCTGTTTGAAGACTAAGATGTGCCTGATTCAAGTCTTTTAAATCACTTTCTCTGCATCAGAGAACTGAGTGTGAATAAGGACAACAGAAGAACTGATGCCTTTAAGCTGTGATATTGGAAAAGAGTACTGGACTGCCAAACAATTTTTTCCTCTAGTGTCTACTGGTCCAGTAATTTGGACCTTTTAAGAATTTTAGTTTTGGTCTACATTTCTCTTCTATCTGTGACCTATTATGATCCCAGTCAGAAAGGTTGTTGGTAGTAGTTAGTAACTCATCTCAGGTTAGAGAAGCTGCATTTCTTGTAGGCTCTTGTATTAGTTTCAAGGACTAGTTGCTTCTTTTTTATTATTATGTAGTTTTCCCCCACACTTTCCTTCATTGACATTATATTTCATACAATCATTCCCATACATTGTGTTTTATAAAATGAATCACCTTTGGGCTATGCCCACCATTACTTGGTCTTTTCAGGTTCCTGCCAGATCTTTCCCATTTCCTTTACCTCCTCCCTCTACCCACCAAATTGTGCAACCATGTGATTTCCACTCTACCCAACCTCATCCCTCTGCTCCCACTTCCTTCACCTCTTGGATTCCCATACATGGTTTACTAGTTATCCTTCTATTTTTACAATAATAGTTATATTGTGTTTGTCCTTAGGAGACTGAGTTAGTTTATTCTTTGAACCTTGGATTTCCTATATCCTCTTCTGCTACAGACAGGAAGAGATCAATTATAGTCACTCACCATCATTTACGATTTCACATGCTGCTCATCAAGCCAGAGTGTGAAACGTTAACTGTGTTCTGCTAGTTGACTTGGTTAACTATCATAGTCCCTCAGGCTATGATCCCAAGTCTTCTTCGGACTCTGGAAAGTAATCTCTTGAGTTGTTTGAATACCTCTAGTAAGCATTTGTGACTCTTATCCCCTGTGGTTTGTTATATATGTGTTGAGATGTATGTAAATTGTTAGCACCTAATAAATCCTAAAACAATCTAAATTAGAAGTTAAAGGGGAAAACTTAATAGGAGAAGTTTGAATTTTTATTTTGGCATAACATGATATCAAAAATTCAGTAGCTTAAAACATCAGTAATTTACTAGCTTGTGGTTCTGTGGGTCACAAGCTGGGCTCTCTGGTTTCTCTGCTTAAGGTCCCACAGAACTGGAATTGGGTTTTTCGCTGGGCTCTGCTCTTATTTGGAGGTTCTGGGGAGGAAGCCTATTTTAGGCTCAGGTTGCTGGCAGAACCCATTTCCTTGTGGTTGTAGAGCTGAGGCCCTCATAACTGTCAGCTTCTAGTGGCCACGCTCTCCTCCTTTTTCATGTCACCAATTCCTCAGACTTCTCTGACCCATCTACCATTGGAACAAGGAAACGCTGCCTCTAAATGGGTCTCCTGGTTGGAGCAGGCCCCCAAATCAACTGGCTTAGGAATTTAATTACCTCTGCAAAATCTCTGCACAGCAGATTACTGCTTGAATGAATAACCAAGGAACAGAAATCTTTAGAATTCTGCCTACCACAATTGATATGAAGAGGGAAGCTTAATGAAATAAAGATTTTGTCTCAACATAATGGGGTGATTTATTCACTCTGCACATTCTGTTCTGTTAAATTATTATAGCATTTCTAGCTTGAATATTTAGTTGAGAAGTCTTGCAGTGTGGTTACTGCAAAAGCAATGAAACTGATTGGAACTATGTAATGGGAGATTTGAGGTTTCTCTCCAGACTTCAATTATTGAATTAGCAGAGACACATGAAATTCAGGCAGCACATTGGATTTCTTTAATATGCTCTATTGTAATGCTTTATATCATATGTGTGTTTAATAATGAAGGAACTCTGTAAGCTCATTGCCATGGAGCCCACTCATAGCTAACACTTCAGGCGGTTTTCATACAGCTGTAAATTGCACGGCAGGAGATTGCCAAGCTTTCTGGCAGATTCAAACCACTAAAGTGGGTTCACCTTTAGGCTAGCAGTGAAAGTCCTTATGGGCTGGGCCACCAAAGTGCAAAGGAAAGCCAGGTTGTGACAGTGAAATTGTGTTTTCCAGTAGCTGTTGTCTTTCAGTTTTTTTTCTTTAAAACTACCTCATACAACTGTTTTCATGCCTCTTGCATTTCTGAAGTCCTTTGCTTGTTTATATTTATCCAATCCATATTGTATTTCCAATGTCTTTTTCCTTCTAGATACTGATTATATGGCTCAGTGGTCTTTTAAGATAGGAAGATGAGTTTTCTGTAGTATTCTATCCGGTGCTATAAGTTAGAGAATTCTTTTACATACACTTAAAAATAAATAAGATGTAGCTCATTTGTCAGAATGTCCTGATTCCTTAGTTCTCTGTACTTTGTCATTTTGTTGTTGATTGCCATAGAGTCGAGCACAATTCGTTCCGAAAGGCCTGAAGACTTTTTATAACTATCATCATTTTACCTTAGCATGTTACTACAGTTTCAGTTAAAGTTTGGACCACATTATGATAAATTCATACTTTTTTTTATTTTATTAAATTCATACTTAAATGTTATTTTTCATTCTAGTATAGGTCTGTCCTTCTACATACCCTTTAAATTTTTGTCTGTCCATAATGACTGGTCTCCTTATTCTTAAATTCAAATTTATCTTAAGTTTGTGTATACACCTTACCGCTTCATTATATCATTGTGTCCTGTATTGATGCAAATGTTTTTTAGTATTTTCTGTTTATTTCTCTTTTAAACATCAGAACATTTTTTCTTTTTAAAGTTTTTATTATCTATGAATTTTACTTCCAGCTAGTAAAGTTGTTGTTCTGTACCGTTGAGTTGCATCTGGCTCATGAAATCTTCAATAGGTTTTCAGAGACAAGAAATTGCACAGGAGGAGATTGCCCCATTTTTCTTTTTAATTATTATTAAAGTTTTAGTGAACATTTACAGAGATTTTGGGTTTTCGTTCATTCATTGTTGCATGCCCCATTTTTCTTAATGGAGCAGCTGATAAATCTGAACCACATACCATAAGGTTAGCAGCACAGTTTCTTACTACTAGGCCACTGAGCTCCCTGATAGTAAAGTTGTTGTTGTTAGGTGCCCTTAAGTCAAGTACAATTGTTAGCTAGACCCTATGAACAATAGACTTGAACCCAGTCCTGTCCTGTGCCATCCTCATCATTTCTGACACACTTGAACTCATGGCTCTCGGCATTGTGTCAGTCCAGACCACTGAGAGTCTTCCTCTCCTTTGCTGACCATCTTTCCAACCATGATGTCCCTTAATAGCCCTACCTATCAACATTCATTTGTATGAAAGACAAAGCTTCACCATCATTGCCCCTAAGGAGCATTCTGGCTGCATTCCCCCCCATCCCCCCCTCATGTCTGTTTTAGACTGTCAGACGTGTATACTGAAAAGAGGATGTTGCAGCTGTGTCAAATTCAGTGCCTGCCACACACATGGGAGGCACTGTCCCGAAAGGCTGCCACAGAAACTCTGTAACTCATGGGCCCTGTTCCTCTCTTGGACCTCAGGGATAAATTTTGTTACAGACACAATACCTCTAGACCTTGAGGGGAGAATGCAGTTTAATGAGCAGGATAGGTTAAGCTAATGGGCCTTTTGTCATCACCAGGTTGAAAAATAATGAAACAAAAATGGAGGTAGTATTGAGAACTAGTGTTCTGTTAGATAAAGGAACGGTGATAATCCATAAGGCTTTATTTCCCTTCCTGCCGTGTGATGGTTGATCAGCAGCCTAGGTGTCTTGATGCATACATTGATAGAATAGGTTCTCTATGTAGGCGCTGTCAGAAATCCTCTTCATTGAAAGGATGCTCTTGAGTCATTCCTTAATCTTATTCTAATCTGGATAAACCACTTTGTTCTCATCTTTGCCATGGGAGGTTCATGCATTTGAGATTTTAGTTGTACTTTTCCTTGGAAGAAGATTGTAAGATTTGCAGTATGGTGATTTTTTATTTTTTGTTCTCTTCACTGATAAAACTTGGGTTTTCCATCCAAAGCATCCCCCCATAATAAAATACTTTTTAAGCACAGAATCTTATTAGGCATGCTGTAGATAAGTGCATGTCAGAGAGTCGGAACTGACTCATTCCTGACCCTCCATTGTCTTTCCCTGTGCAATGTGCCACCAGAGCTCCCTTAGAAAAGCTACGTGTCACCATGTCTGGCCTCTGTACACATCTGACAAGTACTGTGCCGAAGATTTCCCTAGACAAACGGAAAATGCAAAACCAAACCAAGAAATACGAACAAGAATTGACATGATGGGATATAACCTGTAGCCAGTTTAAAATGTTTTTCAAGTTCAGTACTACTGTAACCTTACTGAAAGACTAGTATTATGAATAGAACGATGATGTTGTTGATCTTCACTAATGCTTCTCTTTTTTCTTTTTTCGTTTAGATACTGCATTGCGCGATGGGTAAGTAGGGCTTCCCCCTGCCCCCAACAGTCTTTTGTGGTTGCTGCTTTTTATTTTTAGTCTTCAAAAATAGAGTGGATATTGAGAAAACAAAACCATTTAATCATTATCTGTAAAGCCTACACAATTTGGAATGGCTTTTGGTTTCTGAAATCATGTTGTTAGGTGGACTTTGTTTTATAAAATGATAGCTGTACTATGTAAACGTTTGCATTTCTTGTTGCAAGGCTCAGAGAAACACTAGCATACTTAAAAGATGTGACTTGTGTTTCTGGCACTGGGCTCTGTTAAATCTTGTTTGTGATGTCATAAGTGTTGTAATCGTTTCTGTTATCTTTAAAATGAGAATAATGCATGGATTACCTATCTCCCAGGTATATATGTGAGAGGGAATGCGAACACGTAAGTCTAAAGGATCCTGCAGATACTGTTGATATTTTTAAAAGCCAAATATTAGGAAAGAACATAAACTAATATAATGTAAAAGGTCTCAAAATCAAACAGCCAAGCCCACTATTGTTGAGTCCACCTGACTGAGACCACACAGGGCAGCAGTAGAACTGTCCATAGGGTTTCGAAGGCTATAAATGTGTTTGTTCATAGAAGCAGATTGTCACATTTCTACTGAGGGGTGGTTGGTGAATTTGAGCCTCTGACCTTTAGGTTAGCAGCCAGGGGCTTTCCTGCTGTGCCAGGGCTACTCCACTGGTAGTCCCAAAAGTTTCTGATCCTACTATCGTTAACTGACATACTTTCACACCTACCTTGCTGTCTCTTTCCACGTTCTTCTTAGCTATCTTAACCATAGAGACCCTATCCCTAAGCCTGTTTTTTGTTTGGTTGTGGTTTTTTGTTGTTTGTTTTTGCCTTGGCCTTCTCAAATACTTGAATAAAGATTTTTCTTGTTCAGACTCTCATCACTGCTTTCTGGTGCTGGGACAGACTTAAGTGAGGGTAAGGGCAGGGGAGGGACTTTGCCTAGAAACTTTAAAGACTCCCCCGGAGGGGCTACCTGCACACAGTGGAAGCTTTGGCGGCCAGGAGAGGAAGTTGTCAGTGAGCCTTCATCTCTTGTGATTCTGTCTTTGCTGTTAAAGTACAATAGTGAGGGAGCTCTGGTGGCCTAGTGGTAAGAAGCTGCATTGCAGTCCCAGAGGTATGTGGTTCAAATCCACCAGATGCTCTTCTGGAGGAGAGGCAATCTCCTCCTGTACCAGTCAGATCTGATTTGACGGTACACGCATCTTACACAAAGCTTTGTATCAAAGGTTGGTTTGGAAGGCTTCAGACTATGATTTTTAACTCAATTTGACCCTCCAAGTTAAAGTTCCTACTCTTAGTCCAAGACTCCTACCCTCCTGATCAGATTTTACCTCCTTCATCCAAACCCAGAGAGAAGGAAAGCAAAGTGTTTTTAGCAACGGTGTGTGTTCTGCTCCCAATAATGAAAGCTTCACCTCTTTTTTAATTTTTTCATTTTTATGTTGATTTGCTTACAAAATTTATTTACAATATTGCACACTATCCTTCATTCACATTGTGTTTCATACAGTCATTCCCATTCATTATGTTTTATAAAATGAATCACCATTGACCTATGCCAGCCATTACCCTGTCTTTCCAGATCCCTGCCGGATTCTTTCCCATTTCTTTTACCACTTCCCCCTCCACTCACCAAGTTGTATGACCCTATGATTTCCCCTTTACCCATGCTAGGAACACTGGTGTACAAATCTGTGTCTCATTCTGATTTTCTCGGTATATTTCTAGGTCATATGGTTTACCTTCGATCATTGGTGTTCAATGCTTCAAACCTATTAAGATGGTCTTGAAATTAATATAGAATAGATTCAAGATTATCTTGGTTCTTGTGGACTTATTTTCATTTTCTTCAGCCTCAATTTGAGATGCTCCTTTGAAGTCTTCTGTTCAGCTTATTTACTTTGGCATGTTTCTTCCTTTGTTTTGGCTTCTTGGTTATTTTTTTTCTCCTCTGTAATAACATTTTGATTTATTCAAGGATGATTCATCAATTTATCTTCTCCTTGTGTATTCCTGGCTCTACTAGCCTCTTGATACCATAGGTTAGGCCTTCCAAGCTTGGTCCCAGCTTGTCTCTTATGCTCTTTTAGTTTGGGGCTTTACCGGTAGGTCTCTGATCCACCTAGAGTTGATTTTTGTGAATGGTGAGAGGTGTGTGGATCCTGCTTCAGGAAAGCTTCCTGTCTTGTCTGAATAAACCTAGCCTTTTCACACCTCCATAACATTATCCATCCTTTGCGGGGAGCATCCATCCACCTGTTCCCTGATATGTGTGGATGGACAGAGATGAAAGGAACAAAGAGAAATGGAGCCAGCTTTTTAGGAGTCAGAAGTGCCTGCCAGAGCAGGGAGGTGGGAGATTCGCCCAGAGCTTAGGCACACCACCTGGCACCCAGCAGCTCTAGTGGCCCCTGATAATCCCTGAGGGGTTTTGGAAGCCATGTGTTGCCCAGTTAGAGTTGAGAAGGGAAAGCCAGGAAGAGAGCTTAGATCAGGGAATTTGATACACTGCTGCCTCACCAGAGCAGCTAGGAATTTGGTCTGGATCAGTGGAAACCCATTACTCCATATGATACGCATAAGCCCACTGCCCTGCCAGTCGGGGAACACTGCTAGTTAAGTTACAAAATGAGCATTCTCCCTGAGCCTTAGTTTTCATATCTGAAAAGCTCATGGGCTGGATTAGTTACCAGATGATCTCAAATAGCAAGTTGTCCTGAAAGTCTATGAAACCTCAAAGAAGAAAGTAAGTGTATAATCTGTTTAGTGTACAAAGAGAAAATGCTACCTGTTCAAGTGTGCCTGTTACCAGTTACCTACTCACATTAATCCCATTTGTGTGGTCATTTTTACAAGTACTGTGGTTGTGGTACATTGTCCATTTGAAATTGTGGGTTTTTGAAAAATCGCATCCAAGGGATGAAATGACTTTGGAAGAGAACACATTTTTTTCCCTACCTCATACATTTACCTGTGATAATCACTAGGTGGCAGCCTTGCATAAGAAAGGAGAATTTCTCTTAGAATTTACATTGCCTGGAGCATAATAAAAACCAAAAGGAAGGACAGAGCAAATCAGCCACAGAAGAGAGAAGTGAATGTTTTCTGTCACTCTTTGATAACTTGGTCATTAATATTTCAGACAAAGAGGTGGAACTTTGCATTGCCCCAAAGGAGACAAAATAGAAGTTTGGGGTTTTTTTGTATATGCTATGAGATGTCTTTAAAATTAGGTTCTCTATTTCACATTCTCTGAGATGGTTTGTGACAGTCTGAAGCAAATTAAACTTCGACATATAATCTTTTAATATCATATGATCATCCGACTCAAAATGCCCCATGCCAGTCCATCTCATCTCACCAGTGCCTAGTATGTCAATATTTATGCATTCCATTTCTTCCTTAACAATATCTAATTTTCCTACATTCATGTTTCTCACATTCCATGTCTCAAATGCGAGTGTGTGCTTACAGCTGTTCCTCTTTCTTTGTATTTCCATACTTGACAGCTCAACCTCAGTTGCCCTTTCTGTTATCTAAATGTGTTCTGTTGTACATAGGGTTTTCAGAGGCCT